ATTCTAGTTTCTAGAAAACTAGATGTCCTTATAGATTTAAAAAATGTCTCAAAAACTTGATGGTTTAGATATTGAACAACAGATTTGGCCATATATCAGATTGAGATTGCGCTCTGCATACCTCAATGCATTCCTTTGAATAAGGAACTTATTCCTTAATTAGTATGATTCACCTTTAATAAATAGGGGTTATATGGGTAATTTCCATTGAACAGTAATTTGTCCTTACAAAAATGTAAATCATCAAGTTATTTTTGGAATGGAGGGAGAAAATTATCATAACTCCTTTTATTCTTACTATATTTTGAACCTAGTGGTAGATACCAATAGCAGGTACACGTGATTAATGCTTTGAAGGAGTTAATTTATTGACATATAATAATTTATAATTCGAGATGAGACAAATTTTGAAGCTTCCATCTATCTATACATAACCTATATAGATAGAACCCACTATGCACTAAATATCATTCAGGCATGTTCGACTGGTATTAAAGCCGGCTGAAGCTGATTTATTATGAGAGAAAAATACTGTAGATTCTAGCTGATAAGCCGGCTGATAAGTTCAAGCGAACAGGCCTTACGGCCGTCCGTTCTTAAGCACATATTCGCAATCGTAGCCATCCATCATCCTCCACCCTAGCCACTATGTTACATTGCTTTTGTCACAGCACCTAGCATTGAAACATCCTTCCACTAGGCATGCGATGTTTACATTTCCTTCCATGCTCATTGGATTAATTATAGAAAGATATAAATATAAGTTACAGCAAAAACTTTGTGCTAAAGCATAGTATATCATATGTTCACTATGTAGATCAACTCATGTAAGTCAAACCCAATTGAATTTTTTTATTTTATGATTTTTTCTGTGATTTACTATGATTTTTCAAAGATTCAGCCGAAATAAACATAAAAGAAAAAATAACTACCAAGGAAACAGCCATGAAGATCAAACGACCGGTTTTGAGAGATGAGATGAACTATTTCTAGTTTTAGAGTTGAGGGAGAAAAAGCTTATGTTTGTGATAGTTGAGGGAGGCAAAATAATTTTTTCCTAAAAAATAGATTTTTCCTTACACGTTGTTTAGTTTTTCTCCCCCTAAAGTTTAGCTCCTATCATATCGGATGTTTGGACATATGCATGGAGTATTAAATATAGACTAAAAAATAACTAATTACAAAGATTGCAACTAATTTGCGAGATAAATTTTTTAAGTCTAACTAGTCCATGATTTGACAATGTTGTGCTACAGTAGAAACTCAGCTGTAGTATGAACATGCTTGTGTTTATAAACAATGAAAATGAACATGCTTGACCATCGCCAGATCATATTCCATAAAACACAACATATCAAATAAAGTTCTCGGGTCAATGCTTGTGTAGCAACCCAATTGTACCTTACTACAGGAGATCAATACCTTACTGACAATTAGTTGGTTAGATCTTAGTTATTGCCATATAAGCTTAGCAGAATTATTGCCATATAGGCTTAGCAACTGGAGCAGCAGGAGGAGCAAGTGAGGTTCTAAGTGCTCGGTTGATGTGAAATTTAAATTGGCCTATTGTCATACTTCAATAGTACAGTAAGGACAACAAGAGATGGCCTATTGTCAATTCTCTGCTGCAACAAAACAAAACAAGGCAGCAGCAGGTTATCTTACAGCCACAATAAGCAAATTACAAATGTGGAAAAGTTGTCGGCACACATGAAAATTAAGACTAGACAGAAATATTCTTCAAGGATCAGTCACTGAAAACTGTTGTTGATCAGAAAAATAATTGAACAATTGCAAGTGTACTAGATATCTGGATTAAATCACAAGTGTATGCATTCGTTTTTTTAGAACAGGACTGACAAGAAAAACTATAGCCAAATTGTCTAAAGTAAAGCCAAAGGAATATGACCCACTATGCTTAACAAGGTCAGACGACCCAACTCAACTACACATGCATGCTGTCAATTTTCATCCAGACAGCGCAGTACTGCACACACAAATTTAGACATAGTTTTGTATCTATATATATGCCTGCCACACAAATCAATATGATTCTAGAGTTCTGGTCATACTAGCAGTAGCAAGCAGCTAGCTAGAACCAGAGCATACACTGAACTCAAACAACAACCCCTTTTCATAATTGTCCCTACATAAGATGTAAAGAAATTATTGCTTCCTCTAAAAAAAGGAAATTATCGTTGGACAGCCCATCAACATTATTTGGGAGAACGAGGACCAATCATTCAAAGTTCAGCCTTCTTACAGGTTTATTAAAGGTGAGCTGTGCGTTAATTTGTCCAGTAAAGCTCATACTTTTCATAGCTATAATTAAACGCTCCAAGTTGTGTTAAAATTATTATGTAATAATCAAGTGGCGGCGAATTATGCATGTGATGGATCTCTGTCCCATCTTGTAAAAGGATTGATGCTCGACTCCCAAATAAACAAAAACATATCCAAATGACTACTTAACGTTGCTTTTACATGCATCAATTTCGACCATCTACAAACAAATTGAGCATCTCCTACACTACACATGAAGCTACAACACAGAAAACCACAGCAGCATATCAGACCGACATGAATCCATGTCCGACCACTGAAACAGAATGCAACGAATCGATAGCAAGCGGAGAAGTAACCTGTAGCACCGCGGCGTCGTGTTGCTCCCAGATGGGACAATGGAAGCAGAAGCGGTGTCTTGGCTCATAGACCAGTACCTCCAAGATCTACAAGAACAACGGAAATCTGGGTGAAACCCCTATCGTATCAGGAACTAAAGTCATAGTCAGATGGTGCTAAGCAATGCACAAATCAGGCAGTCAGACCTCAGCTTCTCAGCAACCTCCACGAAGTGTGTAAAATCAGTGTCACTGAGTTGTGTGAAGATACCAACATATAAAATTACAATTATTATGTACAGTCAGTTGTCAGCTCATGAACATCACTTGGCCTCTACATTATAATTCCGAAGCTAGTAGCAACAAATGCATTCATGAACCAGTAAATTGGATCTACCAGAACCAGTTAGTGCTAGAAACAAGAAATCCAAGAAACAAGACAATCGAGCACACTACCAAAACCAGTAAACCTGAGAACCAATAACCTACCGAAACCCTAGATCAACTATATTTGGGCACCTATGAATCAACAATTTAGTGAACCCTAGATCAACCGGATCGGGGCAAGCAAAGTGGATCAACCATGAAACAAGCACGCCATAGATGATGACAACAATCTAGGCAGATGCTCACTTGAATTCGACACTATACAACAAAACCATAGAGAAGGGGGACGAATTGAGCGGGTGCATTCCAGATCGAGATTGCCTTCCTTCGTTCGGAGGGAAGACAAATCCGAGAAGAACTGGAGTGGATCTTGGAGCCGGGACCTTTCAGCAGCTGCGGCGGTCACATCTCTCCAGCGAGGGGACGAACCCGATGTGGAGGCGGGGACGACGACGGTTCGGAAGGGGGCGGTGGCTGGGACGGTGACGTGGATGCCAAGAGGAGAGTCCAGGCGAGGGCGGAGGGGTGGCGACGGATGAGAGTCGAGGCGAGGGCGGAGGGGCGGTGATGGAGGAGAAGTGAGTTGAGGTGAGTCGCGACTCGCGAGAAGTCGAGAGGAGAGGCGAATCGCGGCGGGGAATGCCGCCCGGTGTGACGAGGCGGACAGGTTTCCCCGTCGAAACCCGGCTCCTGCGCGGCGGAGACCCCAGTGTCACATGCTTCCAAACAGGTCGGAGCGGCGGCGCGTGGAAATTATCCGCGGGGGCTTCCTCCACGGGGAAACGACCGGGAACCCTCAAACCCCGTCGGTTATCGGGTCTCAAGCCCGTTGCCATCCTTGTCACAGACAGCCCCCCAGGCACTCCCCATTCCTCATTGTGCTGCGGGCCCTACGTGTCAGTATTTACATCTCCGACTCCGAGTTTCCGACCCCACGAGTCGGTCAACTCTCCTTCCATTCCTTTCAGTCCCAATCCATTCCAGACCAGCACCGCCGCCGCTGGCTCGCCCACCCGAGCCACGCCACGCCGCCGCGGACACCCACCCGCGCCACAGCCGCCGTCTCGCCCAGCCGCGTCGCCACCGGCCCCGGCTGGCCCTCCCGCGACTCCGTCGGCGGCTTGCCTTTCCGCGCCACGCCGGCCCCAGCTCGCCCTTTCCGGCTGTCCCGGTCAACGCCGCCGCCAGCGTTTTGCTACTTCTTGAATTAGATCCGTGGGTCTGAGCTGAGGGTGCGGTTCGGATCTGTCGACGTGGTGATGCAGCGTCTGCTAGTTTGGATCTGTCGATTCCGGTTCTCCTTCCAGCGGTTCATTGCAGCTCTAATTTCTGTGGGATTAGGCGCTTAGGTTTATCTGAATTGTGAACTCTGGTGGTAGTGTGTTAATTTGTTTCAGCAGTAGTACATCTAATCCTTGTGCTGCAGATTCCAAGCTCGTATATATACACATGGTACCCAGGGTACCATACAGTAATGCTACATATACAACAAATTTATTGTTTAGAATGCGTGGGATATTTTTCTACCATGCGCACACACACTGCAACAGTAATGTTGTACTCCGTACATGCGTTTGTTTTTCTCTGCCACTAATTCTCTTATCTCGACTATATTGCTAAAGAAGGGCGGGCCTGGTGCAAGCGGTAGAGTCTTACCGCCTGTGACCGGAAGGTCCCGGTTTGAGTCGCGGTCTCCTCGCATTGCACAGGCGAGGGTAAGGCTTGCCACTGACACCCTTCCCCAGACCCCGCACAGAACGGGAGCTCTCTGCACTGGGTACGCCCGCCCAACTATATTGCTAATATAAACAAAGGAGAATTATTTCAAGGAAAATGATGATGCTTACTAGAGCTTTATCCCCACAGAAGGAACTGTGGCTGGTATAACTAAAAGACATTTTGAATACAAACCTATTGTACATCAACTGATTGACAATGGTCAAAACGTATAGTGGCTGACTTTCAAAATCCTAATACGCCCTACATTCTGAAATGGAGAATGCTTTTAATGCTTGTACTGCCATAACATTTAGTAGTAACTTCTATTCAAGTTTCGGTGATTAATTTGTATTGGCTATGTTCTCTATTTACTACAAGCACCATTGTATTAGTAAAATTAGTACTGCAGCTACATACTGACACATAATCCTTCTGCTGCAGATTCCAAGCGGCTCATTGGTAGGAGATTTAGCGATGCTTCTGTTCAGAGTGACATTAGCACTGGCCCTTCAAGGTCATTTCTGGACCTGATGACAAGCCTATGATCGTTGTTCAATACAGGGGTGTGGAGCAGCAGTTTGCAGCTGAAGAGATCTCCTCAATGGTTCTGATGAAGATGCGGGAGACTGCTGAAGCCTATCTTGTCACCACTGTGAAGAATGCTGTTGTCACTGTTCCTGCCTGCTCCACTGAATTGCAGAGGCAGGCCACCTGGAATGCAGGAGTGCTGGCAAATCTTAATGTTATACGCATCATCCCTGAGCCCACTGCTGCTGCTTTGGCCTATGGTCTTGACAGGAAGGCAGCCGAGATTCGGGAGGACTATAATGTTCTCGTGTTTGACCTTGGAGGTGGTACCTTTGATGTCTCTGTTCTCAGCATCATGGAGGGTTTCTTTGAAGTCAGGGCCACGGCTGGCGCTGCTCACCTTGGAGGTGAGGACTTCGACAACAGGATGGTAAACCACTTTGTCCAGGAATTCAAGAGAAAGAAGAAGGACATCAGTGGCAACCCCAGGGCTCTCAGGAGGCTAAGGACAGCCTGCGAGAGGGCGAAGAGAACCCTCTCCTCCACTTTAGAGAGCACCATTGAGATCGATTGTTTATACGAGAACATCGACTTCTACTCAACCATTACCCGTGCCAGGTTCGAGGAGCTCAACATGGATCTCTTCAGAAAGTGTATGGGGATTGTGGAGGATTGCCTCAGTGAAGCGTGGAACATTAACATACACTCAGTTCACGATGTGGTCCTTGTTGGTGGCTCCTCTAGAATTCCAAAGACCCAGCAGCTTCTTCAGGAGCTCTTCGATGGGAAGGAGCTTTGCAACAGCATCAACCCTGATGAAGCTGTTGCCTACGGAGCTACTATCCAGGCTGCCATATTGAGTGGACAGGGCGATGACCACGAGATCCAGAGTTTTCTCCTGATGGATGCTACCCCTCTTTCTCTTGGTTTGGATACGGAGGGAGGTGTGATGACTGTGCTGATTCCAAGGAACACCAGCTTCCCCACCAAAAAGGAACTGGTCTTTTCGACCGACTTGGACAACCAGCCTTGTATCCGTATCCAAGTGTACGAAGGTGAGGGGACCATGACTCGCGACAACAATCTGTTGGGTGAGTTTGAGTTCTCTATTCCTCCAGCACCCAAGGGTGTTCCACAGATCAGTATTACCTTCGATATCGACGCCAACGGTATCTTGGGTGTCTCTGCCGAGGACAAAACCACGGGCCAGAAGATGAGGAAAACCATCACCAAGAGGTTCCGTTTAAAGCATTAATTATTTAATCAGTAAGTACTCGAACTAGACAATTTCATGCCCTCCCGTGAGATTGTTCGTCTCCAAGATCAGGGCATATACAGGTGTATGTTCGACTGTTGTCTTATTTTACTTGCCAAGCTAAGTAGACAGCTTGCACAGTGAGCATTTTATTTCTACGTATACCTGTTTAATAAATGTATGTATCTATGATCAAAGCATAAGTAAGATCTATGTACATTATTTGTTCCAAGTCAGCCCTTAATAAGTTTTTTTTTTGTTTCATCATGTATACATTGAGTTTTGAGTTCAAATTTTCTAGGGTGATATGAAACGTCTTAATCTAAGCTAGGAAATTTCTCATTATTATTCTTATAGCTTTGGCATCTAATCATACTTTAACTGTCTATCTATATACAAAATAATACAAAAATTAATGGCGACTTCATAACATATCTTTATAATATATAAATTATGATGTTCACTATGATCCTACAAAATTTGAATTGAAAATTCAACATGTAAATGGAGAAAAAAAGGACAAAATATTCTTAGGGGTTAGATGGGATCAACTTTCCTGTGGGCTGTAATTGAGACATTTCTAATAATAAATTAAGATTTAGAAAAGGTACAAAGGGGCAACTTGTGGTTAGTAACGGTCACAGTCAACTCATGCTTGTCTTCATCATTGTCCAAAGTGTTGAGTTCTAAACCGTGAAATCAAACACTACTACAAATAGGATTTGTAGAGACGCTTATTTTTTTTTTTAATAGAGGCAGCTTAATTTGCAGCTGTCTATAACACTGGTTTCCGAAATGAGCCAGCTCTAGAAATGTATTTGTAGGGACAACTACTATTTTCAATCGTCTCGACAAATGCCCCTATCTGTAGAGGTGGCTTTAGATGCGGAGCCTCTACAAATGAATTTTTATAGAGGCAGATGGAATCTAGAGCTGTCTCTACTCTAAAAATAGGTGCAGTAAATTCATTTACTTTTTTAGTTTTTTCAAACGATCTCGGACGGAGAATTGACCAAACCAAACTTATAGATCTTAAAAAGATATAATTAAAACATTGCAGTTGAGAACCTTTTTATTTGAAATGAAATAATATATTGTCTCAAAATTTAGTTCGAAGTTCTCACATATTGAAATTCAGATTTTCAAATAACCTCGGATGGAAAAATAACAAAAACAAATGTTGTAGATCGAGGAGTCGTAGAACTTTGTAGTTGACCACTTTTCATTTGAAATAATTTATCCAAAAAAAATTATGTTTCAATTTCTCATGTTTAAAAGTTAAAATTTTTAAATAAACTCGGATGGATAAATGACTACAAACCAAAGCTGTAGAATTCGATGATATCTACAACTTTACAACTTTGTAGAGTATCAAAAACACGGAGCAACCTCAAGGACGACAAGAACACGGAGGACTATTCCATCGTGCAGGGCTCGCACATCCGACTCGTCTATTATGATGAGTGATGATATGTCAGATATCATGGATCGTCCAGCTCGATCGTGCAATATATATCTGGAGGATAGATTTTTACTTATAATGTCATTAAATATAGTAACAATGTAGCGTTACGTGTCTCGTCTCCCGCTTGCTTTCAGTTGTTCGTGTGTTAAAATAAACTTGATGAAGCGAATGGGCCTATGGTCCTGGTAGGTCTCTCTAGTGGGATGCTACCTACTAAGGTTTGCAACTTTTTTTTTTGATATTTTTAAAAAATTTTAGGGTACATGTGCGCGTTTCTCGCGAACTATGTCTCCCGATCTCTTCTTTGCGTGTATACATACGCGCATGCTTTGCACGTGTGGTGTAAGTGTGTATTACGTGGGCTTGTGCGTAAGTTATAGCAGATGAAAAAAATAAACGAAATTGTACGACTTACGCAAGAATGCCCGTTCGTCGTCACGGCGGTCCGATCGATCTTGTTCGTCGATTATTAGCGCACGCTGCGCTCTCCGTCCGGCCGGTCCATATTTTCTCCTGACGATATTTTTGTTGTGTTGTTCACTTCTGATACTAATCGAATTTCTGACTAGCTAACCGGAATGGGGATGGAGACGGCAATGCCAGTTGCCACGGTGGGGGTGTGTTGACGGAGAGGTTGGGCCGACGCTGTGGGATGGGCTGGGTAGAGCTGGGCTTTGATTTCAGCCTTTGGTGCCTGTATGGGCCCAAACAAACTAACTTGCAAAGCATCTGTACGCAAACACGGGCCGGGCTGCCTTGACCTGAAACCATCTTGCAAAGCATTTGTACTGCTTCTAGCTATCACCCTCAAAAAGGATTGTACTGGTTTTATTTAAATTGAAGTGGGACGCTGCGAGTGCGAGCAATAATCCATGCCGAACATCAAGACGGAGATCCACAAAGCGTACCGTCCCAGAGAAGCAAACACAAAGAACTGATGACCGCACATACGTTGTCACAGGCGCACAGCACCACCAGTCTGCACGGATGACAAACAGATACGTGAACCGCCGAACAACCTTTCCGGTCCTGCCTTGCGTGCTCGCGCCCTGTTCGTTTGGTTTATAAGTCATATTTTTTTCAGTCAACGAATATTATTTTTCTCTCACAATAAATTAGTCAACGGTACTTTCAACCATAGCTTATCAGCCAAGCGAACAGGGCATTGTTTGTTACCCCCTCCGTCCTAAAAATAGAGTCATTTTGGCGTCTAAATGTTGTTTTGCAAACATTGTCGTTTTAGACACTGCTCCCCGCCTGCACAAGGCTGCAGGCCTACTGGGCTACAACCTTATCTCTTCGTCCCCATCCTTCCATCCATCCCCATGAACGCGTCCGTTCCCTCCCAGCGTATCTCCACCGCCGCGCGTGCCCCACCTGCACCGGTGCACCCGTCTTCTTTTCTTCCGCATGCGGCGCTGAGGTGGAGGCCGTTGGCATCGAGTTGGAGCGGTTCAACGTCGGCGCGGACCGGAGTAGTGCGGTCGTCCCCAATCAGATCGGCCAGCGTGGAGAGGTGGAGTGGCTCGACGGCGAGCCGGTGAGGATAACCCAAGCGGGCCACGCCCTTAGCACGCCAGCGACACCAGAGCCCACCCTCGGCATGTCGGCAAGGAGGAGCTGGATTGGCTTCGCCGGAATCGCGCCCGTCCCGACCTCGCCTGAGCTGGATTCGCTGATGTGAATGGGGAAGAACGGGGAAGATGAGAGAGAGATGATGTAGGGGTATTGTAGTCTTTTGCTTGCCTATATATTTCTGGATGTATGCTGCCTTGCCTTGCATATATATTTCTTTATTGTTGGTTCCAATCCCTAGTCGATAGAATAGGTCGTTCCACGCAGTTTCAGAATATGTAGTAGAAACGGCCACAAGAAACCACGACGTGGTGGTCGTCGTCCATGTTCCTGGCGTCGCCGGTATTGCTCGGCGTACGTACAACACACGCACGTAGCACGTAACAACGATGGTCACAGTATAAAATATGTTGTTGGCCGCTAAATTTGACACGGGTCTAGATCCTTAGTCTACAGCTGAAAACGGGCCTGATGGCCAGCGGCGAATCTAGGATTTTAGCTTAGGGTATGCCGCCCAAAAAATTTCTTATACAATTCGGTAAATCCATTTTATCAATTCGGTAATAATTGTAAAGTTGACAACATAATTCGGTATATATGCCTAAGTAACACAATAAGGCTTAAATTCATGGATTCAGTTCAAACCAACAACTAAATATAGTATAAATAGTTTAAAAGTCATACCGATAATTGAAATATAGGCATAAAAGAGAACCGGAGACTTACAATGCTATTTTTCTGACTATTTTATTTGACGCTTTCGAAGGGACATAAATATCTTGATTATATCATCTTCATCAACTTGAAAAATATCCGAGTTGTAGTAGTGGCGGTGAAGACGGTTGTGGCGGTGGCGGTGGCATAGGATTTGCAATTTCCTCAATTCTCTCATGAGTCTGCTCTTCCACCACACGTTCAACCGGATCGGGGGAATGATTAGAAGCAGAAGCAGCTGCCGCTGCCTTTCTTGCTTGATGCTTGTGAAAAAGTGATGCAATATCCGAGTTTTTCTTTATAACTATATAAATATTAAACAATTTGTTATTTGTGATGTTAACAAATAGCTATGAAATTAGACAATAATTTTGTAAAAAGACGAAGAGCAGAAGATTAAATTTTATATACCTAACACAAATAGCAAATCGGCGAGCCTCCGTAACAGCGTGGCCGTGCAAACTACAACTGTAGATACGTGATCGGAGAACGGAAGGCAGCAAGGCAGAGGCCCGAGGGCACCGGCCACCAGGACCAGCAGGGCGTCGCCGTCCGTCACGCCTCACCGCAGCGGCGTTGGCGTCAATCGTTAGGGCGGCGGCGTCGTGAGTTCGTGAATCAGCCCCGATGAACGGATCCAGATTATAGAATACCAAAAGCCAATAGTGAACTATCGTGTAGGCGTGAACGTACTTGCTGCGTGGACCGCTTCCTAGGCCTTCTAACTTGCTGCTTCCATGATGGCGTGATCAGGTGAGTATTTTTTCTTTTTTTATAAATACATATGTATAATACTTATATTATATTGTACACTTGTTGGACAAACAGGGATGCCGGGCATACCCGGCATACCCTGTGGCTCCGCCACTGCTGATGGCGACTGCCGTTGTTTTGGTATGTTGCCGATGACTTTGACTTAGTCGGCTCCGCCAACGCGTCCTGTCCAGCAATATAAGGCCTGTTCGGTGACATTATTTCCAGCCACTGCCAATACACCCTACCGAACAGGCACATAGTCCTGCTGGCTTCTCTCGGTACTCATCGTGTTGTTGAGCGTTCACGTACACAACATGAGTGATCTTGATCCTGGTGCCATCTTTGGCATTCCGATAGCCGGGATGGTGTTACTGGTAGTCATAGGGATGATCAAAAGGTTCGTGTGTGGCGACAGCGGAGGTGGAGGTGGGCTTGGAGGTGGAGGTGGGCATGGGCATGGAGGAGGAGGAGGTGACGATGGAAACGGTGTGGATGTCGTTGGACTCGAAGACGGTCGAGGCAGGGACAACTGGTGCGGCAGTGGTGGTGGCGGCGGCGATGGTGGTGGTGGCGGTTTCGGTGGCGGTTTCGGTGGCGGCGATGGTGGTGGTGGTGGCGGCGGCGGCGGCGGCGGTGGTGGTGGCGGCGGTGGCGGTTTCGGTGGCGGTGCTTGCTAGAGAGATCCTATTGACTTTGTATATATGTCTGGTGATCATAGGTACACGGCTCTAGCTCTGCGCTGTTATCATTTTAATATCATGGGACCCATGCTATCTGTGATTATTAGTTTGCGTTCATTAGTTAATAGTTCCAGGGCACATTTCCAACAACATTTCAGAACAAGTCGCTGCAGTCTAGTCGGGTGGCACTCCTTTGCAAGGAAGATATAGAGCAATACCAGTTGGCAACAAGATTTCATGCTAGACCACAACACGAGTAGTTCTAGCATTTGTTGGTCACTATTCGGTTGGTCTAGTTTTGTGTTTTTTCGGTTTCAGGTGTTTTTCTAGACTTTAAGTTGTCGTCCAGGTGGGCATCTAGTTGGGTTGTCGGCTGGTGTGCCGTGGTGGCGGTGAGCTTGGTCGTCTCCTGTTGTTTGTTGTAATTTTTTTTTCTTGTTCCTTTTTGCTCGTCTAATAAAAATCCGGCAAATCTCTTGCCGTCTTTCTAAAAAAAATTAGTTAATAGTTAATTGGTTATCAGGTTTTATCAGATTTATGTAATACAAAAATTACGAGTTTGTTCTCGTATGGTTGGTTCACAAGGTTAAATGCTTGATTCCTCTACTCTTTTTATTTTTCATCAAGTGTTGCCGTGGTGCCAATCTACAATCTACTATTTGGAAAGCAAAGGTAGATTTTTTGCTTGGACTTTGCTACATAAAAAAATCCTAACGGCAAACAATTTGATTAAAAGAAATTGGCCAAATGATCCAGTATGCAAGCTTTGTGGTATTGACCCGGAAACACCGATACATCTTTGCAAGGACTGCACTTTCTCAAGGCAAGAATGGTACTTCATCAAGCGATGGTTCAGCCTATCGGTGATTGATACTGTCGGAATGACAGGATTCCCGCACAACTACTAGCGAAAGTGCAGAATTAAGACAGACAAAGATTAGAGAAAGGCGTTTGATGGCATTATGATCTATTTTTGGTGGAATTTATGGAAGGAAAGGAATCGAACAACATTTCAGAACAAGTCGCTGCAGTCTAGTCAGATGGCACTCCTTTGCAAAGAAGATATAGAGCAATACCAGTTGACAACAAGATTTCATGCTGGACCACAACATGAGTAGTTCTAGCATTTGTTGGTCACTATTCAGTTGGCCTAGTTTTGTGTTTTTTCGGTTTCAGGGTGTTTTTCTAGACTTTAAGTTGTCGTCCAGGTGGGCATCTAGTTGGGTTGTCGGCCGGTGTGCCATGGTGGCGGTGAGCTTGGTCTCCCGTTGTTTGTTGCAATTCTTTTTTCTTGTTCCTTTTTGCTCGTCTAATAAAAATCCGGCAAATCTCTTGCCGTCTTTCTAAAAAAAAATTAGTTAATAGTTAATTGGTTACCAGGTTTTATCAGATTTATGTAATACAAAAATTACGAGTTTGTTCTCGTATGGTTGGTTCACAAGGTTAAATGCTTGATTCCTCTACTCTTTTTATTTTTCATCAAGTGTTGCCGTGGTGCCAATCTACAATCTACTATATTTAAATAGGGGACCCACACTAGTAGATTTAGTAGATTTATTTGCAATCTCATCAAGTCACGTCACTACCTAGGGTCCACTTCTCTCTACCTTCTTCGATGTAACAAAGACCGTTTCGACTCTTCTCTTCTTGGTGTTGTACCTGCCGGCACCTATTCTCCTTCTAGCATGTGAACGGACTAAAATCTGATCCAAACGCTACCACACGAGCCAAATAAACAGGCAAGCTCCTCCATTGGTGGTGTGAGTAATTGCATCACAAAATCGTCGAGGACCTGAACAGTCTATTGGTCACATTTATAAAAAAACTCGGCCTACGGTGGGCAGACAGCCCCCGTAGTTTTTTGCGCTATGAAGAAGACCTCTCACGCAGGCCGAGAAAACCCCCCGAACCCCATGCCGCGCACTCACACAGAGGCCCGTAACCCAGTAAATGGGCCGAAACCACCTTACCTGTGCTTTGGGACGAGGGACAGGTGAGGGGGATTTTTTTTTCTGCACAAACTGCGCATTACTGCAGCTGTGCCCGCGACAGCCGGGAGTCGAACTCCCGACCGTGGCCTTCCCACGACGGCGAGATTTATAAGCTACAGGCAGTAAAAGTTTGCAACCGTCAGCACTGGGTGGTTGATTAAGGGTATGTTTGATTGAGATGTAGCTTCTGAAAAAGTTGTTACGCGCTGTGGTATGTAGAAAAGTTGCCGTGGTTGTGGGGCCGTGGAAAAGCTCAGAGCCATTTGGTTGAACAGCTGTGACTTGTTAGAAAAGCTACTGTCAGAGGGTCCCATGTGTCATACGACCCAATCTGTCAACCACAGCGTGCAGAGCAGAGCATGGACGTCGTTGGAGCTGAAACCACGCTGGCCGCCACGGGGGCCAAAGCCATGCTCACCCGCCACCGGAGTCGGTGATGACGGAGGTGGCGCAACTAGAGGAGCTCATCGGGGCCACGCCATAGGGGCCACGTCCAATGGAGCCGGTGCTGCAGGGGTCGTGCCGCCGAGGCCAGTGCCGCTTGCCGTCGGGCTCCGGTGAGGCGGCCACGCTCGCCCTCAGCCGCGCGGAGCCGGTGTCGCTCGCCGCGGGGGCTCCGGTGAGGCTGCTGCGCTCGCCCTCGGCGGCGCTCCAAGGAGGAGGCCACGTCAGGTCAGCCTGGGGGCGGCGGCGCCTTGTGTTTCCTCGTGACTCACGAGATGCGAATAAACTCTAGTCCCTGTTTACATGGTTGGCACCCGATATGTGCACGCAGGCACCTGACGGAATAAGTCCGACTCCACAACAAAGACACCTGGCGGACTCGAGTCTGATTCCACCAAAACCATGCACATCATTACGTCAAAAAGGGTTTTTAGGGGCGGTTGAAGACCATTTGTAGGGGCGGTTTGACCAGCCGTCCCTATCCAACCGTCTCTACAAATCATGTATTTGTAGGGGCGGTTACCAGACCGCCCTTACAAATCGATTTGTAGGGACGGCTGGTGTTACGAGCCGTCCCTACAAACCGATTTGTAGGGGCGGTTGGTACTGTAGCCGCCCCTATTGTCTGTCCGTGGCGAGCTCCCTCCGAGGAGTGGCACCGAGTCCTTCTCGCTCATCTACAACAATGTATATCCAAGTCGTCGTTGTCACCTCTGGCCTCCGGAATTTCACAGTTTCAGACGAAGTGGGTGATGCACTTAGTTAAGAATTACCTGTGTGGCGACCGGCAGCGAGCTGGCGGCCTCGGTCTTCTTCCTGCTTTCGACGACGGAGTAGTAGGAGTAGAGGCCCATGCCGAAGATGGCGATGAGGATGCCCACCACGTTGCGGGCGCTGAAGGGGTCCTTGAGGATGATGTAGCCGAAGGAGAGCACCAGGCACGTCTTGACGTGGCCCAGCACCTGGTACGTCACGGGCGACGTCGTGCCGATCACCAGGAAAGTGCTGAAGTTGACGCACACCGCGATCGAGCACGACAGCAGGATGAACGCCTGCACATCACGCAACGGAGCATTATAGTGCTCTGTACGATGACATTGTGTTGGAAGGCGAGGCTGCATCCACACCATCTCCAAGGAGGTCTCCAACGCCGCAGCCGCCACCTCCAAGGAGGTCTCCAATGCCGTTGCCCACCACCTCCAAGGAGGTCTCCAACGCCTTCCCCGCCCCCGCCTACCAAGAAGCCAAGTGCTAGCAAGAGGCCAGCCCCGCAAACGAAGAACCAGTCCCCGCCGGCAAAGAAAGCCACCGTGAAACCAAGGGCTATTCCCAAAATAATATCTGAAGAGAAGAAAGAAGGAACTGATGCATATAAAAAAGATATGTCCAGATTCTATGACAAACTTAAAAAGAATCAAGAAGCAAGGAGAAACCCGGAGAAACCATACTTCTTCGTAGCTCCAGATATTTTAAGAAAAAGGTGGCTTCTTACCAGCAACAACAGCGGGAATCTCGTAAGCCGTCCAAATCAACGTTAATGGACTATGACCGCAATCTCACCAAGTCAATTGAGGCGGCACAGAAAAAGAAGCGGGCAGGGAAAGGAGTTGCCCAACTCGGACAACAATCGCACCAATTAGTCCCCCGCTAGTTGTTGGTAATGAATATGGTTCGAAATTAGGATTAATGCATCAGGCAAACATACCTCCGGATGTCGATTTGGATCACTTTGGTGAATTTATTGATGAGACTGGTCTCGACCTTTACCAGATGTTTGGTGATAGAAACATTGAGAGTGCGATGGAGGTTGATATTTGGAAGAAAAATTTGTACTAGGCCAGAGTCTATACAACCCTCAAGCCTTATCTGATCTGGGGACGCAAATGTACCTGCTAAACAAGTGGTACATGCAGGCGTCTACCGGTTGAGACTTCTGTGTTGGTGTCAGAATTAGAGACGAACATTGGTTCCGTGGCGATGATGTTATGTATGTTGACTTTGCAGAATTTCATCAACTATGCCACCTGACCTCTCTGGACAAAGTTATCATTAGCTGCTATTGCCTGTAAGTAATAATTCTTTCGATCTATTATTAAACTCATCATATGTGTGTATATTCATATAAATTATCCTAACAAGTACTATATATATGCAGATTTACAATGACAGAGCTCAGAAAGGTAGGCTGCAATGAAATTGGTTTTGTTGATCCCCATATAGTATTCAAAGACCCAGTTACTCCAAAGACTAATTGGAAGTCTGAGTCAGAGAGTAACCTCATGAACTTCTTAGTGAACCAACGCCACAAGAAGGATATACTCTTTCCCTATAACTTCAAGTGAGTGTTAATAATGTCGATCATCCTTAATGGCTCATATGTTGATTCTAATTAATTAATGAGTGTTATGCGTTATATCCTATAAACACATGCAGCAATCACTGGATATAGATGGACATCGATCTGGTGAAAAGTCACTTGATAATCTATGACTCGATGAGAAAACCACAACAAGACTACCAAGATATGATAGATATTATCCAGAGGTAATTTCGGTATCTCTAGCAACTATATATACACACAAACATGATGATTAACTATATCTGATGATGTGGCAAATTTTTTATTGGGCAGTGTTTGAAAAACCTTTATTGAGAAGCAACACATGGAAAAATGCAAAGCGCCACTGAATGTAATCCTTTTGAAAGTAAGTCCCCTAAATCGCATCATCTTTATTAATTAAACATATAGCTTTCACCGAATCACCAGATTGGATGACAAATCTTTTTCTAATAAAGTGGTGTCTGAGGCAGGAACAGGGAAACAACTACTGTGGTTACTATGTTTGCAAGTTTATCAAGACGGTCTCCCAAAGAACTCCTACAGAGAGACTCAAAGTACGTTAAAAATACACTATATATTCATTTAATTATTATTATTGGTTGTGTTACTATGTGTTTATATATATATATGTACATATATTAATTTATTTTCCTTTAATTCAAACCTGTAGGCTCGATGGTTGGAGGAAAAGGTCATACGGCAAGACCAAATCAAAGCAATTCAAGAGTCTATAGCCAGATTTTTTAATGAGCAGGTCATCGATTCCAAGGGCGAGTTCTACTTCGACCCAACACTGCTATGGAAGCCAAGCTAGAGGATGAGAGGAAACTTGTTATATCACAACAACTGTAATGCAATCTTTTGTAATATATGCACATGAAATAATATAATGTAAAATACACATATATATGCATGCATGTAAATATATATATTATGCATGCATGCATATATATATATATATATATATATATATTTCTATGCTTGAATTGTGTGATTTAATACGTTCATTGTGCTTGAACCGAAACATACTATACGCGCGTATAAATGTATAATTAGCAGCGTACAATACGACTTCGAAAACCTATTTTGAAAAGAAAACAAAAAATTAAAAGAAAAGAAAAAGAAAAAACCTTTAGTCCCAGTTCAGATACTACAACCGGGACTAAAGGTGCCGCCATCGTGGCATGTCGAGAGGCACCTTTAGTCCCGTTGGTGTTATTTCCACCGGACTAAATGTCCTCCTTAGTCCCGCTTCTCGACCGGGACTAAAGGACCCCCTTTAGTCTCGGATGCTTGCTCCCGGGTGGGGAACCGGGACTAGAGGGGGTTCCCCACCGGGAGTAAAGCTCTGTTCTCTACCATTGAAACAAGCTGTACTTCCAGTTGGGAAACCTCTTTAGTCCCGGTTTCCCAACCGGGAGCACGAATCCGGGACTAAAGGACCCCTCCAGATCGGAACAACACTAGACCTGGCAATACGGATGCACATCCAATTAAGTCCATCCAACGAAATTCAATAGAGCAACTAAACTTACAGACTTGAATGGATGACGAAATATAAACGCAGAATCAAAGATATAGAGCCGCAAATCAAACGCATGCAGTTCATCCAGAATCATCATCAACATACGGATAGTAGGCAAAGACGACATATACTAACATAACAGTCACCATACACGAACTCAGATGACAAAGGATAGATCAATCACCATACAAACTCAGATCCATCCACCCTAACATGACAGTACTGGTAGAGATACCATAAAACTCAGCAGATGATACTATAATACTAGTAGTAGCATATGAAGATAACTAGTCACACCACCGGCGGCTTGCTTTTTCCTCCTACGGGGCCACGCCGTCGACGGCCTGTGGAGCCTCCTCAGTCGCCGCCTCCTCCTCCTCCCTCACGAGAGCCGCGAAGCGGGTGACCGACGCTGAAAGAACCTGCTCCCCACCGCGGATGGGCTTCTCGACGATGAACACCTCGGTGCCCCCGCCCTCCTTGACCCACTAGTGGAGAAATGAGATCTAGTCCCGGTTGGGAACTAGCTCTACTCCCGGTTTCCCAACCGGGACTAGCAATCCGGGACTAAAGATGTTGTTCTTTAGTCCCGGTTTGCCACAACCGGGACTAAAGATCCTCCCAGCTTTAAAAAAAATGCCTCCCACCGCTGCGCCCATTGAGATTCGAACCCAAGACCTCATGCACTTTGCCACACAGCTTACCACCCCACCTACACAACACATCTAACAATAGATGGGATGCTTTCCTTTTGAACTAACCCATCGGGGGACCTTTAGTCTCGGTTGATGTTACCAACCGGGACTAAATGGTCCTTTAGTCCCGGTTAGTAACATCAACCCGGACTAAAAGGTCACCCTTTAGTCCCGGTTGGTGTTACCAGCCGAGTAAAGGTTGAGGATTTTTAGTCCCGGTTGGTGGCTCCAACCGGGAGTAAGGTCCACCTTTAGTCCCGTTGGTATCTCCAATCAGGACTAAAGGTCCCCCTCGCCATCGCGCCGCGATGGCCGTTTGGCGGGGACCTTTAGTCCCGGTTAGTGTCTCCAACCGGGACTAAAGGTCTCTCTAGTCCCGGCGCAAAAAAATATTGGGACTAGAGCTCATTTTGGCCTCGTATGAAAGATCTGTTCTCTACTAGTGACCATGACACCGACCTTCTTCGGCCGCTTATCTTGGCGAAGTCTTGCTGCGACACTTGCGGGGTCTGGCTTCATGCAATGGGAGGGCGGGTACTTCTCCATGGGCCGAGGGCGGCACGGGTCAGGCGGATGACTGCGGTGGGATGGCAGAGACGGAAGCAGATGGGTGGGAAGTGGGATGCCGATGCGAGAGAGAGGGGACTGGGGATGGGGACATTGCTTTAAAGCCGGGAGTAGACTTTTACTCCCGGTTGGAGGGACCAACCGGGAGTAAAAGTTAACCTTTAGTCTCGGTTGGTAGCTCTAACCGGGACTAAAGGTTCCGTAGACTTTTACTTCCGGTTGGAGGAACCAACCGGGAGTAAAAGTTAACCTTTAGTCCTGGTTGGTAGCTCCAACCGGGACTAAAAGTCCCCTACAGTAAAAGCCTACCGCAGTAGCCGTTGGCAGGGACCTTTAGTCCCGGTTAGAGCTACCAACCGGGACTAAAGGTTTCTCTAGTTTCGGACGCGAAAAATACCAGGACTAAAGCCAAATTTCGAAGTGGATCAAAAATCATTTCTCTACTAGTGTCTTGGCTCCGAGGAGTAGCGCCGAGTCCTTCTCGCTCATCTGCAACAATGTATATCCAAGTCGTCGTTGTCACCTCTGGCCTCCGGAATTTCACAGTTTCAGACGAAGTGGGTGATGCACTTAGTTAAGAATTACCTGTGTGGCGACCGGCAGCGAGCTGGCGGCCTCGGTCTTCTTCCTGCTTTCGACGACGGAGTAGTAGGAGTAGAGGCCCATGCCGAAGATGGCGATGAGGATGCCCACCACGTTGCGGGCGCTGAAGGGGTCCTTGAGGATGATGTAACGACCGAGCACCGAGAGCACGTGGGCACGTCTTGACGGCGTGCCCATCACCTGGTTGGCGTCACGGGATCGACGTCGTGAACCGCACATCACCAGGAGCATTATAGTGCTCAAGATGACATTGTGTTGGAAGGCGATCGCATCCACACCATCTCCAAGGAGGTCTCCAACGCCGCAGCCCACCTCCAAGGAGGTCTCCAATGCCGTTGCCCACCACCTCCAAGGAGGTCTCCAACGCCTTCCCCGCCCCGCCTACCAAGAAGCCAAGTGCTAGCAAGAGGCCAGCCCCATAAACGAAGAACCGGTCCGGTCCCAGCAAGCAAAAAGCCACCGTGAAACCAAGGGCTATTCCCAAAATAATATCTCAAGAGAAGAAAGAAGGAACTGATGCATATAAAAAGATATGTCCAGATTCTATGACAAACTTAAAAGAATCAAGAAGCAAGGAGAAACCGGAGAAACCATACTTCTTCAGTAGCTCCGGATATTTTAAGAAAAAGGTGGCTTCTTACCGGCAACAACAACAATGGGAATCTCGTAAGTCGTCCAAATCAACGTTAATGGACTATGACCGCAATCTCACCAAGTCAATTGAGGCGCAGAAAAAGAAGCGGGCAGGGAAAAAGGAGTTGCCTTTCGGACAACAATCCAATTAGTCCCCGCTAGTTGTTGGTAATGAATATGGTTCGAAATTAGGATTAATGCATCAGGCAAACATACCTCCGGATGTCGATTTGGATCACTTTGGTGAATTTATTGATGAGACTGGTCTCGACCTTTACCAGATGTTTGGTGATAGAAACATTGAGAGTGCGATGGAGGTTGATATTTGGAAGAAAAATTTGTACTAGGCCAGAGTCTATACAACCCTCAAGCCTTATCTGATCTGGGGACGCAAATGTACCTGCTAAACAAGTGGTACATGCAAAGGCGTCTACCGGTTGAGACTTCTGTGTTGGTGTCAGAATTAGAGACGAACATTGGTTCCGTGGCGATGATGTTATGTATGTTGACTTTGCGAAATTTCATCAACTATGCCACCTGACCTCTCTGGACAAAGTTATCATTAGTCGCTATTGCACGTAAGTAATAATTCTTTTCGATCTATTATTAAACTCATCATATGTGTGTATATTCATATAAATTATCCTAACAAGTACTATATATATGCAGATTTACAATGACAGAGCTTTCGAAAAGGTAGGTCGCAATGAAATTGGTTTTGTTGATCCCCATATAGTATTCAAAGACCCAGTTACTCCAAAGACTAATTGGAAGTCTGAGTCAGAGAGTAACCTCATGAACTTCTTAGTGAACCAACGTCACAAGAAGGATATACTCTTTCCCTATAACTTCATGTGAGTGTTAATAATGTCGATCATCCTTAATGGCTCATATGTTGATTCTAATTAATTAATGAGTGTTATGCGTTATATCCTATAAACACATGCAGCAATCACTGGATATAGATGGACATCGATCCGGTGAAAAGTCACTTGATAATCTATGACTCGATGAGAAAACCACAACAAGACTACCAAGATATGATAGATATTATCCAGAGGTAATTTCGGTATCTCTAGCAACTATATATACACACAAACATGATGATTAACTATATCTGATGATGTGGCAAATTTTTTATTGGGCAGTGTTTGAAAAACCTTTATTGAGAAGCAACACATGGAAAAATGCAAAGCGCCACTGAATGTAATCCTTTTGAAAGTAAGTCCCCTAAATCGCATCATCTTTATTAATTAAACATATAGCTTTCACCGAATCACCGATTGGATGACAAATCTTTTTCTAATAAAGTGGTGTCTACGAGGCGAGAACGGAAACAACTCACATGGTTACTATGTTTGCAAGTTTATCAAGACGGTCTCCCAAAGAACTCCTCTGAGAGAGAGACTCAAAGTACGTTAAAAATACACTATATATTCATTTAATTATTATTATTGGTTGTGTTACTATGTGTTTATATATATATATGTACATATATTAATTTATTTTCCTTTAATTCAAACCTGTAGGCTCGATGGTTGGAGGAAAAGGTCATATGGCAAGACCAAATCAAAGCAATTCAAGAGTCTATAGCCAGATTTTTTAATGAGCAGGTCATCGATTCCAAGGGCGAGTTCTTGACCCAACAACACTTTGCTATGGAAGCCAAGCTAGAGGATGAGAGGAAACTTGTTATATCACAACAACTGTAATGCAATCTTTTGTAATATATGCACATGAAATAATATAATGTAAAATACACATATATATGCATGCATGTAAATATATATATTATGCATGCATGCATATATATATATATATATATATATATTTCTATGCTTGAATTGTGTGATTTAATACGTTCATTGTGCTTGAACCGAAACATACTATACGCGCGTATAAATGTATAATTAGCAGCGTACAATACGACTTCGAAAACCTATTTTGAAAAGAAAACAAAAAAATTAAAAGAAAAGAAAAAAGAAAAAAAACCTTTAGTCCCAGTTCGTATTACCAACCGGGACTAAAGGTGCCGGCCATCGTGGCATGTCAGGAGGCACCTTTAGTCCCGGTTGGTGTTACCCACCGGGACTAAATGTCCTCCTTTAGTCCCAGTTCCTGACCCGGGACTAAAGGACCCCCTTTAGTCTCGGATGCTTGCTCCCGGGTGGGGAACCGGGACTAGAGGGGGTTCCCCACCGGGAGTAAAGCTCTGTTCTCTACCATTGAAACAAGCTGTACTTTCAGTTGGGAAACCTCTTTAGTCCCGGTTTCCCAACCGGGAGCACGAATCCAGGACTAAAGGACCCCTCCAGATCGGAACAACACTAGACCTGGCAATACGGATGCACATCCAATTAAGTCCATCCAACGAAATTCAATAGAGCAACTAAACTTACAGACTTGAATGGATGACGAAATATAAACGCAGAATCAAAGATATAGAGCCGCAAATCAAACGCATGCAGTTCATCCAGAATCATCATCAACATACGGATAGTAGGCAAAGACGACATATACTAACATAACAGTCACCATACACGAACTCAGATGACAAAGGATAGATCAATCACCATACAAACTCAGATCCATCCACCCTAACATGACAGTACTGGTAGAGATACCATAAAACTCAGCAGATGATACTATAATACTAGTAGTAGCATATGAAGATAACTAGTCACACCACCGGCGGCTTGCTTTTTCCTCCTACGGGGCCACGCCGTCGACGGCCTGTGGAGCCTCCTCAGCCGCCGCCTCCTCCTCCTCCCTCACGAGAGCCGCGAAGCGGGTGACCGACGCTGAAAGAACCTGCTCCCCACCGCGGATGGGCTTCTCGACGATGAACACCTCGGTGCCCCCGCCCTCCTTGACCCACTAGTGGAGAAATGAGATCTAGTCCCGGTTGGGAACTAGCTCTACTCCCGGTTTCCCAACCGGGACTAGCAATCCGGGACTAAAGATGTTGTTCTTTAGTCCCGGTTTGCCACAACCGGGACTAAAGATTCTCCCAGCTTTAAAAAAAAATGCCTCCCACCGCTGCGCCCATTGAGATTCGAACCCAAGACCTCATGCACTGCCTCGCGCGTAGCTTACCACCCCACCTACACAACACATCTAACAATAGATGGGATGCTTTCCTTTTGAACTAACCCATCGAGGGACTTTAGTCCCGGTTGATGTTACCAACCGGGACTAAATGGTCCTTTAGTCCCGGTTAGTAACATCAACCCGGACTAAAAGGTCACCCTTTAGTCCCGGTTGGTGTTACCAGCCGGGAGTAAAGGTTGGAGGACTTTTAGTCCCGGTTGGTGGCTCCAACCGGGAGTAAAGGTCCACCTTTAGTCCCGGTTGGTATCTCCAACCGGGACTAAAGGTCCCCTGCCACTGTGCCGAGCGCAGTAGCCGTTGGGCAGGGACCTTTAGTCCCGGTTAGTGTCTCCAACCGGGACTAAAGGTCTCTCTAGTCCCGGGCGCAAAAAATATTGGGACTAGAGCTCATTTTGGCCTCAGATGAAAGATCTGTTCTCTACTAGTGACCATGACACCGACCTTCTTCGGCTTCGCCATCTTGGCGAGCGTGCGCGCGACGACCGCGGGGTCGGCTTCATGCAGCGGGAGGGGCGGGGTACTTCTCCATGGGCCGAGGGCGGCACGGGTCAGGCGGATGACTGCGGTGGGATAGCAGAGACGGAAGCAGATGGGTGGGAAGTGGGATGCCGATGCGAGAGAGAGGGGACTGGGGATGGGGACATTGCTTTAAAGCTGGGAGTAGACTTTTACTCCCGGTTGGAGGGACCAATCAGGAGTAAAAGTTAACCTTTAGTCTTGGTTGGTAGATTCAACCGGGACTAAAGGTTCCGTAGACTTTTATTCCCGGTTGGAGGAACCAACCGGGAGTAAAAGTTAACCTTTAGTCCTGGTTGGTAGCTCCAACCGGGACTAAAGGTCCCCTGCAGCAAAAGCCTGCCGCAGTAGCTATTGGCAAGGACCTTTAGTCCCGGTTAGAGTTACCAACCAGGACTAAAGGTTTCTTTAGTCTCGGGCGCGAAAAATACCGGGACTAAAGCCAAATTTCGAAGTGGATCAAAAGTCATTTATCTACTAGTGTCTTGGCTCCGAGGAGTGGCGCCGAGTCCTTCTCGCTCATCTGCAACAATGTATATCCAAGTCGTCGTTGTCACCTCTGGCCTCCGGAATTTCACAGTTTCAGACGAAGTGGGTGATGCACTTAGTTAAGAATTACCTGTGCGGCGACAGGCAGCGAGCTGGCGGCCTCGGTCTTCTTCCTGCTTTCGACGACGGAGTAGTAGGAGTAGAGGCCCATGCCGAAGATGGCGATGAGGATGCCCACCACGTTGCGGGCGCTGAAGGGGTCCTTGAGGATGATGTAACCGAAGGAGAGCACCAGGCACGTCTTGACGTGGCCCAGCACCTGGTACGTCACGGGCGACGTCGTGCCGATCACCAGGAAAGTGCTGAAGTTGACGCACACCGCGATCGAGCACGACAGCAGGATGAACGCCTGCACATCACGCAACGGAGCATTATTCGAGCACGGTTACAGCTTATAATGCTGCCGATGTCTAATCGATCGGGTCCGGTGAACCGAGATCTGTTGTGCCAAGGTACTTACTACGACTTGGGTGGTGTAGCTGAACGCGAACACGTCACGCTTGGTGAGGAGCTTGTCCACGAACGGCCCAGTGACGAGCAGCACCGCAGACTGGTACGGCGACGACTGGTACAGCAGCTGCGTCGAGGAAACCTTCAGCCTCCTCTGGATTTGGTTGGTCAGCTTTGTTCAACACCAAGGTTAAGGATGACAAGCCAGCATGTGGAAGCAGTGTATGCAGGGTGCATGAAAGACTGTAAGATCCAGCAGCTAGCTTGAGCTGCTGAACAGCAATCACAAGGATACAATCTGCCCGACGCATGTCGCAGCGATGGTGAGCATGGCCATGATGGAGCGGAGGAGATTGAGCTGGAGATCCGTGACCGATGCGATGCCGACTCCCAGGAGCAGGACCATGAGGGAGGCCTTGATGGTCTGACTGAAAGGTTCAGGCTCATCGAGTATGAGAAGTCATTTTTTTTCTTCCAACAACACGGAACAAAGAGCAGCTCAAAATTAAACACTGGGCAGAATGTGGCAAGGATTTTGGAAATGACCTGAACTTCTTGTTCAGAAAGATGGTTTCCAAGACTATGGTGAAGGGTATGATGGCCAGCTTGGTCATCTGTTATGAGAAACAATGGCAAATTCATTACTAGAAACAATGGTAAATTCAGAGGCAAGAACATAATACTACTGGTCAGTAAATAGTAGTGTAGTCAGTGCTTGCTTGCCTGGTAGAAGCCAACAGAGTTGAATCCGAGGCAGAGATTGAGGAGGACAATGAAGATGCCATTGAGCAGGCCAAAGGAGATGACGGTTCGCGCGTCAATTGGCTTTGGCTCAAAGAAGTGCAGCCGCTGGGCAACGTACAGCCATTGAGCAGATCGTAGTTGTCCAGGTAGGGCACAAAAACAATGTCCCCAAAAAATTCAGCTTCCTTCTTCAGCTCCACATTCACTTCCTTTCTGCCATGCTAGAGTTAAGAAACACCTTCAGCACAAGCACACAAAACAAATGAAGTAAGCTAAGCATGTTAGTGTTAGCATAACTTGCTAACAATAGTACGGCCATTTTAAAACAAACATCACCCAGAAGTTAAAAGCACCTTGCATGCTATGTCTCACTTTACTAAATTCCTTTTTCATTGAATAGTAACTGTCAGCCTGCCTCAGGATGCTTTGCAACTTGCAAGCACACAGATCGGCATTCAACAAACAGAAAACAAAATATTAATGCTTACATTTCATCAAAAAGAGAACACAAATGATGGAATGGAGATGCAACATTGTACACATGTAATGTAGACAACGGTTATAGCAAATACATATGCATACTTGTAAAACAAGTACAATAAATGAACTCATGGTGCCTAATAGACATAAGATGCTCACAATTAAAAGCAGATTGTAAGCTACGATTGCTTTAGCATTCAATCGACTTTTCAGCAACAAATAATCTATCCAAGGATTGAGTAAGAGAAACGCAACATACAATCTGGCCGTGTAATCTACCCAAATCCCCAACATACAATCTAGCCGTGTAATCTACCCGACCAAGAGGTAAGAGCATTCAAACGTACCAACTACTGCAGTCTTATGAGTTATGACCGCAGTCCTACATGGAAGAAGAAATTTGCAGCATCGAGAATAAACAACTTCCAAATGCAGCAACCGAACATGTGTTTGGTTGGTATAGCATTCATAAAACATTCAAAAGTTCGCACACAAATGCATCGATGACGCAGTCGCAGTACAGGACCAAAGCAGAACAAGCTCAGAACACACAAAGTAAACAGAGTTAGCCCACAAAGAAAACAGCTCTTGGTGCATCATCGCCAGCAAAACCAGCTTGGAAGATAGATAGACAGACATAATTAGTGGCGTATTTGGAAAGAAAGGAGATAAAGGTTGTACAGGTTAAGGGGGGGAAAGCACTGACCTTGACCATTCCGGTGCCATTGTCGCAGATAAGAGGCTGGATGTCCTCACCATCAGCCATTTCTACAGAATTGCTGCAGCTTGGCATATAAAGAGAATCCATCAGTGATTATTTTTTTATTTTCAATATATGATTGATTGAAAGGAACACTGGATTCGAATACACATGCTAACTGAAAGCGCTAAATCGAATTCTTAGTACAGAAAAAGGTCACACAAAGAAAACAATTTATTCGTAACTTGTAAACAATTTATTCGTAACTTGTAGCATCTGAAATTTGCAACATCATATTCCAGTAAGCTAATAGGCGTGGTGGTATACTTCCGGACGAAAGACCAACGGCTCTTCACTGGAATCACAACACCAACAACTTCAACTGACACCCCAGTTCAAGCATCCAGTTAGCTCAGACCAATTCGTAAATGACTAGCAAACTCTTTTACGCCAGATCCGAATGCAACTGCACCACACCCGTAACTAGATCAGATCCGAATGCAAGTACAATACACTTGTAACTAGATCAGATCCGGATGCAAGCATGCTATATACTTGTAACTAGATCAGATCCGGATGCAAGTACGCAAATGGGAAGCCTAAGCGAGGGTTTGGGAGATCGATTTCGCCCAGCACGAAGGGAAAGGAAGGGGGCAGGCGGCGAACCTGGTGACCTCCGGCGAAGGACGCGGCGGAACCTGGGCACCTGGCGAAGGGCGGTGGCGGCGGTCTCGCCCAGTCGTCGCGAGGAGAGAGAGACTTGTGGCGAGGAGAAGGACGCGCAGGCACGGTCCGTCTCCTTGACTCCTCTCACGGGGAGCTAGCGGTGGGGGGCCGTCCAGGACGACGCGAGGGGGGAGGAGGAAGAGGAGGGGGCGGCCGTAGCTGCAGCGCCACGCGTCGGCGTCGGGAGAGCGAGGGAGGGAGAAAGCGAAGAGAACGGAGGGGTGAGAGAAGACTCCAGAAGGACGACATGAAGACCATTATTTATTTGTCGGAGAATTTGTAGGGGCGGATTTATAGAGGCGGCTCACTCACCAGGCGCCCCCCAGTGTTGCTATTTGTAGGGGCGGCTGGTCTCTGGACTCCCGAGTACGCCACTGTAGGGGCGGCTCCATCACCAGCCGCCCCTACAAAACATTTATCCCATTGCTATAAACCGTTTTTCACGTAGTGCATGACTTGGCTAAGCTAAACTAACCCATCTAATTTACTAGGACTGAATAAAAATCTGCTGCGTCGCCACCGCAATACCCAGCGCAGCACATGCCACCAGTTTTTAGAAAACCTGACCAGTTAGACCATGAAGAAAAAGTAGTACGTACAAGATAAGTATATCAGCAACACAACAAGCAACTCATTGAGCATAAGAGATTACATTAGGTTATACCGTTTTGCTAATTAACATTTTTTTTTTGAGGAAACAGGAGGGGCCAAGACCCTTATTGGAATATATTAAAACAACAATAAAGCGTTTTACAGGCAAGAATCAAGAGACAAAAAAGGTCCTATTCCTAATTAACAGTTAAGCGGCTACCACAAGTCCAGGCACCCCGGAGGTCTGTTTGCAGAAGTAAGGGTAAAATTGCTGGTGCAAGACCCATGTACTCCATTTTTTTACAGAAATACTCAAGCGCAGTTGCCTAATAAGTTGCTTATCCGTCAGTCTATCACTACTGGATTCAGGTTCTTTGCCGAGTGCCTGAGGCACTCGGCAAAATCAGATTGCACTCGGCAAAGCCTTTGCCGAGTCTTGACACTCAACGCAAAGAACACGGCAAAAATTGATCGGCAAAGCCCTCTTTGCCGAGTGTATTTTATCGGGCACTTTCGGCAGGCGTTTGCCGAGTGCCCCGGGACACTCGGCAAAGAAAAGCTACCGCCACGGCGCGGTCTCGTTGATTTAGTCACTTTGCCGAGTGCCAACCCCCAGGGCACTCGGCAAAGATTTTTTTATTTTTTTTAAAAAATTTTTTGCCGAAAGTGCCAACCAATGAAAGATTTTTATTTTTTTTTAAAAATCTTTGCGAGTGCCAACCCGTGAGGCACTCGACAAAGAGCTTTATTTTTTTGAAAATTTTCTTTGCCGAGTGCCAACCCGGCAACGGCCTTCGCAAAGATTTTTATTTTTTTAAAAATAATTTCTTTGCCGAGTGCCAACCCGGAAGACACTCGGCAAAGAGCTTTTATTTTTTTTTGAAAATTTTCTTTGCCGAGTGCCAACCCGTGAGGCACTCGGCAAAGGATTTTTATTTTTTAAAAAAAATCTTTGCCGAGTGCCGACCAGAGGCGCTCGGCAAAGATTTTTTATTTTTTTTATACGTGGCAAACCAACCACTAGCTGACATATAGCACTGTAAATTGTATTTTTGATATATTAGTGCTCACGAAAAAAGAATACATGCGATAAACATATAAGATACATATGCAAGAGACCAGGTCCACTTAATTCGAAAGGGTAATAAATGGTAGCAAAATGTACCAATAACAACATGATCACCCCATGAGTCCAATGGCTGATTAGATACACACACGACTTGAAGCTCAAACGAAATAAAATGTTTTGAAAAACCAGTTACAACCAGTAGACTGAACTAGCTACATTATATATTGCCAATTCTACACTTGAAATGATCCTAGAATAAAATCGCACATACAAAAGAAACCATATTTGATGCGCCACAAAGAGACAATGGATCCATTAATCGATAGCCATATATAGGGCCCAACATCACTCAGTAATCAATACCTGAAAAAGTTTGATCGCACAAAATAAGCTTAGATAAACGTTACATGAGGAGAAACAAAAAGTTTCAGGTACTCTACATGGAAACTTCAAATAAAATAATAGGATTCTAAGGATGGGCAATTGATGACCAGCAGCATGAAGTTATAATCTGAAAAAGTTCTACAAAAATGGAGTCAATTGGATATTATGATTAGTAGTTTGGGAGAGTTTTCTAGTTATGTCAATTAGCAATTTCTAATGCATCTGCAGAAATTTGATTATTCTTTAAAGCCAAACAATCAGTTAAACGTGTCTGTGCAAAATCACGATCTTAACAAAATAAAGTAAAATCACAATGGACAAAAAATTGTCCCTAAGTTAAACTTTCAGCTTTTTATGCAAAAAATTCAAGGTAAATCTGATAATTTTTGTGGAGTTCAATTACCAGGGATGCTTCAGCAGAACTGCGAAAGTTTAACATGGTTGGGACGTTGGGTGTCAACAGTAACTCAGTTTTCTGTTGTTAATCATATTTGTGTGATAACTAGTTTGATGCTTTGATGTTCTATAAAACCAAGGAAAGGTTTGTGATCTTTGTTTTCTCAATAAACATGAGCAGCGTTAATTAGGATAGGTTCTTCTGCATCAAACGTGGGTGAATAACAGAAGTACATGGTTAGAAAGGATGCATGGTACCTTATAGTTGAATGTGTAATCTTAATGTTCTATATGTTGTGACGCTATCGCAGGAGGTCAGGTTTGGTACAACCGTGCAATTGCCAAACTATTGCCCTTCTTTTCAACAATAAATTGCTTATCACTTTGAACCTTTAATATGCAAAACAAATGATAAGGTGGGTAGCTAGTGAATGATCAGCTGAAAGTGGCACTGAAAGAAGGAAGGCCTTATGACTTTCCTGTACAATCAGCAGGTGAGCCAGCGATTTATTGGACTACTGCCAAGACAACCGTCAATTGAAATGGCAAATTAGAAAGTTAGAAAACAAACATTCAGATATTGGATAGATGGAAAGGAGGTAAATGTAAGGAAACAAAGAAAAACAGAAAGTGGCATTTTATTTTAATGATTTTGTTTGCAGACCCTATATACGTCACTATTACGGCATCATAATCTAGAAGTATGGGTTAAGTGTAGAAAAATACTGAACCTAGACTTACGTGCTGAGGATTGACATCCTGCAAGATAGGTGGCTTTTCCCTATTTTTTTTTTAGACATGGTACAACTGGAACTGACACTAACATGTACTCAGTTCCAGTATATACACGAAAACAATGCCATGAAAATGTAAAGTAATACTTAGAGCAATCAGATTTCGAGTCAATTAGCCCAAATTGAATGCATCAAGCATATACATAGGAAGGGCATACCAATTAATAAACAGGTAATAGTGCAATAGTATATAAGCGTCGAATAGGCACATGGGTACGTGCTTTGAAGAAAAAATAGTACACTGCAAAAGAGATTGTGTAGCAAAAAAAAAAAAAAAAAAGAATGGATTTGTACCTTAATCTTAGCATCGTGATTGGGGAACGTCGCTGAATGACACTGATTAATGGATCTGTAGAAAAATCATGATGAGATAAACAGATAAGGACAATAACATGGATGCTTGTTATCTCTGCATTATTAATTACATGCGCGCCACACGAAGGTCAAGAAAGACCAGAGAAACACATCTGTGACCAACTCAGGGATCCCTCCAAAGACCGGTCATAACGAAATGCATCAAAATAGATATGCATGACAATAGTAAGGATCATTCAGCAGGATTACTACTGAACTCCATTCGTGATGATAGGTAAGACAACAGGGCATAGATGCATAATTTGGAAATACATAGGAGCCCTGACCTGACTTTGCATAGATGTCGTGCGATAAAAAAATTGGGTCTCCATCGGTAAGACAGGCCTATAATGTTGATCTGAATCCATTCATATTTGATCATTCCCAATCCGCTTCAACGTTCAATCCTCGGAAGTAGGTGTGGATTAGCAACCAATCCGTCCATACTTCATATAAGTCAAGCAAAACAAATACTAATCGGACGTAGTTCATATAAGTTGAAGCAAAACAAAGCGGTGCGGCGGCGCTGGTTCACCGTGAACTCGGGTGTGGGGACGAGGCGGTACCACCGCGAGCGACGCAGAGGCATGGGCGGGCTGGGTTTGAGGCCGGCATCGCGATCTCACGGCCATAGCAATGCCGCTATTGTGGTCGCTGTGGGCTGCGGCGATTGAGGCGAGGAAGCGAAGGAGACGGCGTGCTTGACGCAGACGGGTAGGGGTCGGCCGACCTCGACCGTCGGTGGGGGAAGA